CGATACACAAGCTCAGCAAGTTTGGAATCCACCAAACCAAAAACAAGTTCGCAAACTTGAACAAACCAAACGGTTTCTTTTCGATTAATCAACTCTGAGTTTTACAACGTAAATAGAAGGCTATTTATAGCCAAGAAAATCTAATACAAGCCTAATGTAACTAGGAAACAATTAAGGTAAAAAAAAATCTAAAAATAGTACAAAACTCGGCCACAAACTTCCTTTCTTGACACACAAGTAAGCTGCCAGCAAAACAGTCAAAAGGCAGCTTTCGTACTAACTTCACGCCTTTCGTTCGAGGCCTTCCTGAACTCCAAATCCTTCATCCAATTCCTTCCCTTGGTAGATAAACATTCCTAATTTCATGTTGTAGAAGCCCTTTGACTTGAATCTCATCCATGCTGCTTGAATCGAGCTCCAAAGTAGGCTTCACAAAACAGTTTTCTGCCTTAGCCATTTTCTGGCAGTTTTCCAGTTTTGAGGTAGCAAGTTTGAGGCCTTGGAAAACAATCTTAACGACATCATCTGGCTCCACAAAGCATATCATTGGAAAGATGGAAAATTTATCTACAAAACAAACCCTTAACCTTGAATTTCCACCAAGCCAATTGAGAGAACCATGCCTCCAAAGTATGTACCCTGAACATGGATTTTGATTTAGCCAAATTCTGCATTTCTTCTTCCCAACTTCGATAGCTTCTTTGTCAAGTAATTGTGAAGTGAATGGTGGGCAATTTGGGATCATATCACCATCGTAACCCAAGCGTGAACTTTTGGAATGCCATCTGTAGTCAAACTATAATTCAGTTATTACCATAAAAATCACAAATCACAATAAAAAATAATATAAATAAACTTACGAAGTAACGTTGATTGCAAAAAATCTAAAACGTAGGGTGCACAACAAAAATTTGAAGACGAATAAGGAGAGGGTTGAGCAACTGAGGTTCTCGGAGCTGCCTTTTATAGGCAAAATTTTGATTGAAAACCGCAGGGGGAGGGGACAGTTTTCAACTGCCATGCAGACCCACGTCTCCAAAACCCCTGCATGGCGACATGTTGGGTGTCGAGGAATTTGGACGACATACAAACGTAGGGGGTGCGGTTTGTGTGTCGGCAAAGCAAACCGCTTGATGAAGAAGCTGTTTAGGTTGAAGACCTAGGACCGCTCCCTCATGAAGCGGTTTCTTTTAGGTCAGCAAGTAAATCGCCTCCTCCAGTGGCGGTTTCTGCTAGGTCAGCCAATGGACCGCCTTCCCCAGCAGCGCTTTCTGCACAGATCATTAACCACTTTTTCAGCCTGCGGTTTCTAACAACCACACCTTGGGCGTGCGATTTTCAATAAATGGTGCTATTTTTGGAATTTGTGTGGGTTGGGTGCCATTAAATGGTGCTATTTCTGAAAAATTTCCAAAAAATGTGAATTGTATCTGAACGGCATCGGGTCCTCAAAACGGCAGCAGATCCGGTCAATAACCATACATAACTCAATCACCATCCGCCACATCAGCGCTCCTTCTCTCTCTTGAAAAGCTTTTAATTTTTCCCTCTTAATCTTTAACGAAAAAATTTATCACTCGTTTTAAGTCGAAATTTAATTTTTTTGCACACTTAGATTATATTAATTGTGCTCTTCAAAATGATATCCACTTTAATATATTTTTGGAACAAAAAAAATTGAGACATTTTTTACCAGTCTATACCATATAGTATTGACTGGTATTGAAATAAGAACACATCTATGGTTTGAAAAGCGTACCATGGTTGTATGAACAAACCAAGACTATAGGATGGTTGAATACATGATAGTAGAAGTATATTAACTGTCATTTACGACTTTTAATATTGTGTACCACAAGATACCAACTTGTACCAGGGTGGTATTGTGTTTAGTTTTTTGTCATGTATTTTGTTCACCCAAAAATTGTAGATTCAATATATCATGATGAACTTGTTCCTTCTGTGCAAAAACTTTCAAAAGCGAATTACAAACGAAGAAGATACCATATGGTATGCAGTTGGTACCGAGAGGCAAGAAATTTTTTCTCAAAAAATATTGGAAATGGATCTCGTTTTGTAGAGCACAAAGAACTCGTTACATATGTGCAAAAAGAATTGAAATCCAAGTTAAAACGAAGAAGATATGAGTCGATTAAGAAAACGAGTGAAAATAAAAATGACCTTTAATTCTCCATCCTTAAATCTGAATTGTCTGAATGAAGGATCCAGATTTAGTTATTGATGGGTGCATGAGCCCCTCAAACCCTAAATTAAAACTAGAAAATTTTAAATTAATGAGAACAATATTTTTAACGATTTATGTGATACGATAAAATACTTCATCATATCGTGATATCGGGTGAATTGCAAACTTGGTCACCCATATTACTTATTTATAACACTTTAGCCACCCGAATAAAAAACCGTTCAACTTAGCCATCGATACTACACGTTATGTCATATTTGGTCACTCGCCGTCTAGTTCTGTTATGTCTGTCCTACGTGGCAGTCAATAATTTGGTTTGACCATTAAAATGCTGACGTGGCCATTAAAAATAATTAATTTTAAGTTTTATTCTTTTCCATCTCACAATTTTCAATTACAAAATATTATTTATGATAAAAATTTCACATCCGTACCGGCTCCCCAGTTCGCCAATTTCCCCATCTTCGTCTCCACCGACCCTTCCTCCGCTTGGATTCCATCCCAAACCTCCGTCATTCCGGCCATCGCCACCGCAAACCGAAACTCCTCCATGCCACTTTCGGAAATTGGAATCTCCGTTGCCTTCTTGTCTCCCGCGGCGTTCCTGGCCAGTTCCAGAACCTAAAGAACCAAAAAAATCACCAAAACACAACGGTTAGTTTGTAGATCTGAGAGTTTTCAGGGATTTGATTAAAAAAAAAGAGTGAGTACATCGACATTCGCAGGCACCGCATCGGCCCTGGCAACCAAAATCCTCTTTTCTAAGACCTGGATTTGGAGCTTCAACGACATGAGGTAGAGGCCGATATGGAGATCCATTGGCATGAACTTACCATTTCAGCAGCGGCGACGAATGAGAAATAAGAGAAGAGAAGTGATTTTGGGGCTTGGGGATTTTGGTGAGGATTTCGTTGGGACGGTGGAGATGGTGCCGGCGGGGATAGAGAAGAGAGAAGAGAAGTGATTTTGGGGCTTGGGGTGCCGAAGTTAAGGGAGACGAGAAGAGAAAGGTGAACAGAGCAGAGGAAGAAGGCCAGGAATCTTCTGGAACAGAGTAGAGGAAGACAAAAAATTTGTCGGAATTCCCAACTCCTGTTTGGCGGAGTCATCCTTCTTGCGTTGACGGCTTGGCGGACTCGCCGAGGCTCGTCACTGCAACTCCCACCCCTGCCGCCACTGCCTCCTTCAACTAGAGCAATCACACCTGTTTACGGCGAGTTCAGAAAGTCCGATCTGAAAGCTGAACAACCGACTCATTGGACGTCCAGTCTTTATTCAATTACTCTAAAACCCTACTTGCCAATCTCTCACGACTTGTTCCAGAAGCTGTCAGAGAAGTCAATTGCGCCGGAGCTGTTGGGCTCAGTTTCGCCAAGTGGAGAACTCCAACCCACCGAAGCTACTCAGCTCACCGGACTCCCGATTGTTCTCCGTTGCCCTTTCGATTACCGACGTCGAGGAAATCATGGACACCGTCTCATCCGACCTCGACTCCTCGTTGTTCACGTTACTAATCGCGGATGTCGGTTACACAATCACATATTTGAGTTCCCTCGTCTCGAGAGCCTTGCTTGGATCACTAGTGGCGACCAATATCGACTTGACAATAAAGGCTTTCTCACCGGTCGCCTTTTTTTTTACATCAGACCCTCTCTCACTAGTAGTTTGAGAAGGACAGAACAAAAGTAGAATACTTTTATATTTGTTAATTTTTTATCATAAATAATATTTTGTAATTGAAAATTGTGAACTTGAAAAGAATAAAATTTAAAATTTATTAATGATTATTTCTAATAGTCACGTCAGCATTTTAACGGTCAAATCTAATTGTTGACTGCCACGTAGGACAGACTTAATGGAATTAGACGACGAGTGACCAAATATGACATAAACGTGTAGTATCGGTGGCTAAGTTGAATGGTTTTTTATTCGGGTGGCTAAAGTGTTATAAATGAGTAATATGGGTGATCAAGTTTGCAATTCACCCTCGTGATACCTAAGCCATATGGGAGTTGTTAAACGTCGCCCTTAAAATTGCTAATGGTTGCCCTAACTCTAATAATAAATTACCTATATGCCCCCAATGAAATTTCAAAATTTAAACAAACCAAACATTGCATAACTCCTTAAACCCAACCCTTGTCTACCTTCTTCCCGAATCCCTCTCGGCGCACCAATCTGCCAACAACCAGTCCACCGGCGCCTTTCCCGCCGTCACCGTCGCCCATTCCCTACCGAAATTTCCAAAAAAAAATCTCCACCTAAGGCAAGTTGAGGTTCCACCATGGACCAACGGCAAGTGAGTTGCGGTTTTACCATGGGCCAACCGCAGGCAAGTGAGCTTCAATTTCCTTTTTTATTGTTTTTTTTTTTATTTTTGGAGTGAACTTTACCTCATCGAAGTCTCTACTCCTACTCATGATTTAGACGTCCTATCGATGATTATGGCTCCCGAATGACGATGATGGATATTTTCTCTCTTGAATAATATATTTTTTTTTCCTTTACTTAATCTAAGTGAGGTTTGTTTGCTAAAGGTCAAATAAAGAAACTAAAGAGTTAAAAGTGTAACTTAGATATTTTTTAGATCGATCTTTAACAATTTTAAAGGCGAATTTTAGCAATTAAGTCATTTTACCTGCGCTGCATTATATTAACTGGAATATGAAAAACCGCAAAACGAAGCCGACAATGCAACACCACCACCAGATCAATCAACTAACCATTTCTTATTCTTTTCCGGCCGCGTTACAACAAATCTGCTCTTATGAACACCAAAAACGTTGACCCGAAGTCAACCATTGATGAAAGAACAAATCTTGGACCGCATCGCGACGGCGTTCTCGCAGCCGCCGTCCATCAAGTGGAAGACGTGCTGCTCGTCCTTCGCCTCCAAGAGCTCGATCTCACCTTTCCACCCGCTCTTCCTCACCGCCTCGCAGTAATACCTCCCTCTGTCGCTCAAGAAATCCTTCTCCGCCACGGCCACCACCACCTTCGAACAGCCCAGCCTCCCCAGATCCGGGTCGGCGGCCGGGTTCACCAACGGGTCGTCGGGCCCCGTCGTCGTCGGGCAAGCCAGCTTCCAGAACTCAAAAGCACCTTCCCTGAACTCCGATTCCTTCTCCTCGTTCCCAATCGGATCTTTCCCCCAAAAATACGGATGGATCAAAACCAGCCCAGCGAATCCAATCCCCCCGATCCCTTCCTTGCCGAACCTAATCGCCATCCGATGCGCTATATTCGCGCCGGCGCTGTCCCCCGCGACGAACACCGAGTCGAAATCGGCGTGCTTGTTGAGCCAATCCTCAGATCCGCCGCCAGAGGAATGGGAAGCGATCCATTCGAGCGCGGCCCACGAATCCTCGTACGCGATTGGGAGTGGGTTCTCGGGGGCTCTCCGGTAGTCGACGGAGACGGCGATGACATTGGCCTCGGCGACTAAAGTGTTGAGGTAATTGTGGTAGATCGGGGAGAAGGCAGATTCGATTAGGAAGGCGCCGCCGTGGTAGTAGACCAAGACAGGGAGCTTCTCCCCCGGCGTGGTCTGCTTCGGGAGGTAGATCCTGGATCGGAGAATGACATCCCCGCCGGCGGAGGAAGAGGAGTAGTACCGGACGTCTTTGGATTGGACGGCGGATTTGGGGTCGTGGAGAGAAGGCGGGACGATTTTGGTCCCCGTGAGGCGCTGGACGGTGCCGTCTTTGTAGATGCGGAGGAAAGGGAGGAACTCCCTGACGGGCTCGGAGTGGTCGTCGGAGGTTGAAAAATCCATTGCCGAGCGGAGATTTGATGGGATAGAGTTTAGTGGTTGGTGGGTGGCTTGATTTGGAGTTGGAGGTGTGAAGTGCCGTATAAGGAATGGAGGAGAGTGAAAGGGAGTGGAGGTCAGGGAAGGATTAATAATAAATAAATTAATTAATTGGTTTGATGGATGGATGGCAGCCTGGAGAATATGGCATTACTTTGGCTGTTAGTGTCCCGTTTGGGCTGATTGGCTCAAGATGATGACCATAAGGGCGACTTCTTACTTCACAATGAAGCAATTTGGTGGCTCTCCAATTTTCCAAATATTTTTTCCCCAAACGATACCTAACGGCATTGCATCATCACCTTCTCGCAGTGACCAGTGATTCAAAGTTAGAGCCCTTTTCTGATGTTTTGACACAGCCAGTGATAATAAAAAATAAAGTCAAATACTTTCTAAATACTGAAAATAGGCGAGGGCAGTTTCTTTTTTATCCAACAATATTTTTTGAATGTATTACCAATCTAAGGCTGGTGTCATTGAGAGCAAATATTTACCTATTTTTTCAACAAACGTCACATAAATTAATCTTGCATACGAACTAACACGCATGATTTGAGTCAATCTTATAATCGTGTCGAGTTTTTGTCCTATGTCATTTGAACTTTACCAGCTCCGGTAAGTCAGATTATCCATACTCCACAGTCCAGAGAAAAGGGTAAATAGAAAAATCCTCAAACAGCAAAGTGCGTGTGTGCGTGCATCAGCATTTCCACAGCAGCAGCTTATTGGTTCACTCAAATCACTACTACATTTTCTATTATCAAAGATGGAGAGGATTTCCAAGTTTCTCAAGATGACGGGTCGACATGCCGTACACATTGTTTATATACTTTCTTATTCATGGTGATGATAGTACAAACAAGTACAACACCTCATTGTAGCTTTCATGATTCCAAGAGACGAACGCTTCGTCTCTGTTGCCTTTCTGAGCAGCCTAAGGGACAACACAAAGCATCACATATAACCATTGCACTCAGTTCTCTGCATAATGAAGCTGCTTCCATCCTCTCTAGTCTCTAGTCTCTACTCTTGTGGACCACAGTATGGGCAAAGCAATTTTGCCCCTTACCATATTGTTGGACTTTCCAATATATGCCAACAGACAGTTCATTGATTGATCAGTCAGTCGATGCCCAGGCTCGAATAGGGTTCAAAACCACCCTGTCGGTAACAAAACAATATAACTTGTTTCAATTTTCATACTCTCCAGAGTGTAGAGGATATGCTTCGCACCTATGATACCGATATAGAGTAACAAATTCTGTGTGGTCTATCTTCAACAAGGTAGTAGATAATGCTGAAATGAATTTGCATTACTACTTCGACTTTGTTGCAAGTGGGAAGATGATACTCACCGAGCAATCATCGTGAACCCGCCAGATGGTCTCTCCCAGGAGGTTTGCCACGGACAAAATAGTGAGCTGGGGGAAATAGTTCTTCTCCAGCACTGGGATTGTGTTTGTTATGATCACCTCTTGGAAAAGACCACTAGACAACCTCTCTATTGCAGGTGGACTGTTGCACGCAGAATCAAATCACCATGTGAATTAGTTTTGGAATGATTTGGGAAGGGTATGCTAGTAGGAGAACATAAATAATCCACAGCCAAACACTCCCATGGGATGGAATATGCACATAGAAAAAAAATAACCTAGGTACCTGAAAACAGCATGTGTAGTGCAGGCATATACCTCCCTTGCTCCCTCTTGGTGTAATAGGGCTGCACCTTTACTTATCGTCCCTGCAATAAGAAGCATTCATGCGTTGTAGACTCTTAAATCTTAAAACAGAAGTAAATCAGTAGTTAGGCAGAACGATATGGACTTGTATACAAACACAAGAGAAGAGCATACATTTAAGATTTATCCACCAACATTCGACTTATGATAGAAAATAAATATAATAGGTAGTAATTCGAGAGTGGGTTTGCTTGATTTCTCAAACTCACCAGCGGTATCAATCATGTCATCCACCATCACTGCAACTTTTCCCTTAACATCACCTATCAAGTTCATCACCTACAAGATGATAGGCGGCATAATACCTCTACATTGTCACAAGATGGTAAGAGATACTCGCATCATATCATAGTACAATCTGATAAACTCTATTCTCTGTATATCCTTTAATTTCAAATATAGACATCACTAGTGAACACGCTCATCAGTAAGAGTGAAGCAAGTGCAAGCACAAGCACATGACCTCGTGAGTCCAAAATTACTTTTTTTTTTTTAAATGTACACCAAACAAAGAAATAGCTGCTGATGGCAACCCCATAGCTAAGAGGATTTATATGTTATCCACACTCCTATAAATAACAAAGAAAGATGGGGAAACCTATCAATTTGTAACGAGACTGTATATAGAGGATAGGATAAACGTAAAACTTTCCTACCTTAAAATTACGAATTATAATTCTGGGCATGTAAACCTAACCACTATTACAGCAAAACATGAGAAGGCCAGCGTTGGAGTCTTACCTCCGCAACATTGTGCCCATGCCGCCTTTTATCTACAATGGCTAGAGGTGCATCTGATAATTTCTTGGCAAAAGCACGAGCCCTTGCTACACCACCAACGTCAGGAGATACCACCACCAAGTCATCAGAACAAATTCTCTTGCTAGCAAGGTAATCTAGTACCACTGGCTGGTTATTCCAAAGAATGAAGACAAGCACTAATCAGAACCAGAACTTACATTCATTTCACTGTATTCTACTACAAGCCAGTTCAATTACACAACAGCATGCAATATGACAGGCCACACATGTCGGTGACCACAACTCATTCATTTGCAATGAAGTGACCAGCTCCTCAAAAAGCCAAGTGAGCAATTGTCATATAAAGAGCAGGGTTCTAAATAGGTGTAGCACCTGACCATATACATGGTCCACGGGGATGTCAAAATAACCCATTGACTGCCCAGAATGAAGATCACAAGCAAGAACACGGTTTGCACCAGCTTCTGTAATCAAATTTGCCACAAGTTTAGCAGCAATGGATTCACGCCCTTGAGTCTGAAAGAGCAATAGAATAGAGATGTGTTAAAAGCATGTTAGCATCCACTCACCAGTTATCTCAATGTGGTTCAAGAATGAAGAATCTAACTGTTCCGTCATAATTAAGAATGTAAAGTGGTCATATGTGAAGATTTTTCTCTTTCTGTACACGTTATGCCTTCAACTGTGGTGAATTGTTTAGCAACACTTTCAAGCAAACAGTTGTACCTTTCTATCAGCTCTAGCATACCCAAAATATGGAATCACAGCGGTTATATTTTTGGCTGATGCCCTCCGACAAGCATCAATCATTATCAATAACTCCATAAGATTCTCATTTGCAGGAGGACAAGTGGGCTGCACAAGATATACATCACAACCTCGTACACTCTCTTGCAGTTGGACATAGATTTCACCATCAGCAAAACGCTTTATGTTAATTTTCCCAAGTTCTAAACCCATGTAGCATGCGATTTCCTGTAGAGGACATAACAATACCTCATATTAAGGCTGGCACTTTTAAAGTACCACTATAGAGAGCACAAATTGGGAGAGAGAAATTTCAAATGAGGAAAAACAACAAGTTGCAGGCATTTTTTTCTTCAAACGAACTGGATGAAAATTTAAATATGGAATGAAACTAATAACAGAATCTGAACTTCTAGAAAGTGAGATACCTGTGAGAGAGAAGGATTAGCTGTGCCAGAGAATATCCGCAGCCTAGTGTCATTCTTACTAGAGACAATGTTGCCTAGTTGAGGTGTGGTTAAGAAGCTAGGCAGAGAACGTTCGCCAGCAGGAAGGACTGGGATGCAGGGTTTCCCATTCTCAAACTTCAGTGGCTCCACCACATGACATCTCTTTAGGAAAACACAACGATACATTTAAGTTACCATTTCAGCCAAGCATACGCCAACTAACAACACATCAACAACTGTAATACGCTTTCCATATCTTTCTATTACAGTTGATAAAGCACTCTCAAGTCTAATCTATAACATTAAATTCCCACGGCCTGCTCTAATTCTGTCATTAAATTCCCACAGCCTGCTCTAATTAAGAGCCACTACAATCAGACAAGAAAAAGAATGGAAAACTTACCACCCCTGAACGACATGGAACCCGAGCTTCCTCAAGGACGGGATGTGAAGAGCGAAACCGAGGAATGAGTGGAAAACTGGATGTTTGAACCAGAGACACCATCAGCTCGACGTGCCAAGACTCAGCAGTCTGGAATTAGGTTTTCAAGGAGCCTTTCAATAATTTCAACTCGAACTTATCAGCCTCTATCTCCCTCCTTTCACCTGGGATCGATGACGTACAAAAACCAATTCCTTGAGACAAAAGATTCCCATTTCCCAAATCCAATGACATAAATAGATGCAACCACAAACAAAGACTACGCAAGAACCATCATAACCTTCAAACCCATTGAACCGTAACACACAAAGTAAATCACCTAAAACTATAGCGGCTAAAGTTTTTTCACTACTTAACATTAAAAATACTACCCCAAAAGCTGCTGGTTCATCAAACTTTCATCATGATGGACAGACAATGAAACGCTCAGCTTTCACAACTGTTCAAAGTTCAAACAGTAATAGAAACCCTCAAAACAGTTAACAGCATCTAGCTGGCAGTTACCAGACATCTCAGCAAAAATCACCCGAGAATCGATTCTGATTCAGCGCACCAGAGAAGAAATAAGATTTAAGCATTCTTACCCAGTAACAAGACTGCTAAACCACTCAACCAGTTCCGAAATGCCTCCTTTGGCGGCTGCTTTTATTCTCAGTCGCGATGGCTAGCAGACACGGTGGACCGACCAGGAGACAGAGCGGAGGTAGTAGACGGCTGGCTAGCTGGCCCTCGGCAACGGCCAAAGCTGACTCAGTCACTCGAGCTGTTCGCTCTTCTCTGCTCTTTCCCCTTTCTTGCTCAAACAGTAATGAAATTCGGAAAATCTCCGTTTGCCATCTCGGCATCTCTCCTCCAGTCGAGGGGTGGCCATTCGATCGGTTTAAACCTCAAACCGAATTATAATTCGGTTCGGTCGATTTAAACCAAATTATAATTCGGTTTGGTTTTGCACACAAAACCGAATTTGAGAGGCTACTTGTATCTCCTCACTTTTAAATTATTTTTCACCCCTAATATAAACAATAGGGTAATGTCTATTTTTTATCCAAACTTTTTTCAAATTCTTTTATATTATCCAAACCTATCGAAATACTAAGAATTAGCCAAATGTTAACTTTCAGTTAGCAATTTTGTTAGTAATATTGACTTGGCAAAATGATACTGACTTGGAAGAGACTCATAAAGGTCAGCATTCAAAAATTTTAATATTTTAACTAAGAAAAGAGTTACAAAATTATTAACGATAACATACAAATGGCTAATATTTTGATGCATCATGAAAGATTTGGCTAATTAATAGAATTTTAATAGGTTTGGATAATATAAAAGAATCTAAAAAAGATTTGGATAAAAAATAGAGATTGCCCTAAACAATAAATATGCAATTATATGCATAATCAATGATAAAATCAAACTTTTCAACACATAAGTCATAAAATATTTCAAATATTTAAGTATAAAAACAACTACAAACATAAATATCCACCATTTGGAGCTTACAATTATAGTATTTCGGTTTTTTCGGTCGGAATTTCGGTTCGATTGAAAGAACCCTGATTTCCGAAATATCCAGATTTTCCTTCCGAATTCCAAACCGAATAGCATTGTTTCGGTTTGATTAATTCGGTTCGATTCGGGTTTAACAAACCGGTTGCCCACCCCTACTCCAGTCCAGTGGCTTTCCCTACTCTTGTTCTTGTGCCCTCTCGATTAAACCCCTGAAAACAAAATCCCGCATCAGAACGACAACAAGCGGTATACGAAACAACAGCTTTTGCTACTTTACTTGCTGGCAAGGTTGTCAACCCTCGTGTCGACTCGTGGACTGACCCACTTTGACCCTGGCCCAATGAGAAAAACGGGTCGCACGCACCCGTTGGGTCGACCACTACAAGGTATCGGGTTGGAGGTCAAATTGTGTCATTTTTTTTCTTTGTTTTGTGAAATGCGTCTATTTTCCGATTGTTCTTTTCGCCTAACTCAATCTTTGGAATGCTAAGTTGAACATTTGAATATTGATGTTATATAAGTGTGTGTGAATTTTCACTATATGTTGGATCTAAGTACGATATGTTATTTTGGTGTAATATTATATGTTATAACTCATATGTTTGATGAGATTTGATATAATTTATCAGGATAAGTACAATATAATAACTGTTTCCATATTTTCGGGCTAAACCGGGTTAAAACGGGTGACCCATTAACCCTTGAGTCACTAGTTCGATCGGGTCCGGGGTCAACTCGCGGGTTGACAACCTTGCTTGCTGGTCTACTCACTATTTGGATGTTTGCTTTTTAGGCTCCGCAGTTCTTGATCTTTGCATGTTGGTCCATAATTTTTTTTATTTTATAAAGTGCCTGCTTTATATTATTTATCTGGCTAAAAGGCCTCATTATCCTTACAGAGTGATTCGACCAAGAAGAAAGGGGACTCTTGGCCCTCACATCTTCAGTCTCCGATTAGAAAAAGTATGGGCCAAAATATGGGTCGAACTATTAAAGTCTCGACTCGTAAACACAAACCTTACTCTACCAATCCAACCCGCTTCCTGACGAATCTCTTCGCAAATCTCTTCGACTTCCAGTTCTGAGCGCATTTCCTGCAACAGTTTCTGAAGCAACATAAACAATATGTTTCGATATCGAGTGAGGAGAAGCTATAGCGAGTAGCCATTTCCAGAGCGAACATAGTCCCATTCGCCTCAACTATCTCCGACGTCCACTGCCATCGAATTCTCCTTACTTCTTCAAGTCGTAATTCGCCTGAGTGGTTATTAAAAATGACTCTCGGACATGTCCCTCCTCTTTGAAAAAACATTGCACTAACATTAGCTTTCAATCGATTTTGATTTGGGGGCATCCAATGGATGGAGTGTCCTCTGGATTTGCATGAGTTTCTCTACTTTGTTGAGTTTTGTATTCTTCTAGCCATTCCAAAACCTTATTAATGATTTCTCCTTCTTCCTCTCTTCTTATTGTTCCACAAATGATTGTTCCGCCCGTTCCAAATGAAATAGAGGACCACAATGATACGGGATAGATTTGGATAGCTCCCTTTTCTTGGCGGGAGTAGACCAAGTTTCTCCTTTCTTGGCGAGAATGGCCAGGGTTTCTATTTTTCTAAAAGATTGCCTGCCCCTATTCAATTGATTCCCCACTTAAATACATAAATTGGAATGAACCTATCTATGTGGAACCAACTCCACGTTTTCATCTACTACTACTGCACTTCCTCCACTAAATATGGATATGAGTATTAAGACTTAACCACTAACTCTAACAACTTGCCCTACTAACTCTAACAATTTGCTGACCTATTCACCCCTTGCTAACAAGACTCAAAGCAACCGAAGCTCCTATAACAACAAGCTTCTCTCGGCTTGGGTTGGGCTTCTGCCCGTAATTGTGGTAGCAACTATTGGGCTTGGCTGCTCGCGTCGAGTGATGGTTGGGCCGATGAATAGTCGTATCATTACCATCCCCTGAAAAACGGCCTTGTCCTCAAGGCCGAGTTGAATGAAGTGATCGTCGAAAATGGACGACAACTTGTAGGTAGCATCATCCATGGGAAGGTATTGCCCGCCTCCTGATTCCAACCAGTTTCTTCCCGATCTTGCTCGAGGTTTCAGCTTTTCCTTTTGATGCGAACTCTCGTCCCATTTCTTTACGATCGTAGACTCGTTGACTCGGTCCTTCAGGTGCAGATTTTCCTTGTATGTGGACAACCGTGTTGACTCATAGAACCACAACTTATTCACTTCCCTGGAAACTTTCATTTCCTGCACCTTTTCAGCGGGAAGCTTTATCCGATACCCCTGTATTATGCTTTTGTAACCCGCCATCAACGAGAACAAAGTGACTTTCACAATAGTCGGATCATGGTCTTTGCCGAGTTGAATAATTGCTTTCAAAGAATTTATACTAGCCTCAGGATGAGTCTGCAATGCAAGCATCAGCTTCGTACTTTTGAAGATTTGAACCCCTGCCAACATAACAGCTTGTGGAGCTTCCTCTCCTTTCTCCCCTCCGCCATCATTATTGAGCTTTTCTGCCTCCTTCTGCCTCTTCTTGATCTTAGCCATATTTCCATTTGCCAACCTGCCCAATATGTTGAAAATGGAAGGACTTCCATGCTTACTTGGACGCAATTGACGTCGACCGCTATCTTCAATCTGATCAAGCTCAAAATTCCACTGCAAATCATGTGATTTCGGATGTGACCGTGGAGAGGCAGCGCTATCCCGCAAAGAATGCAGCGTCCCTCTATGATGATGCTTTACGGCGAGGTGTGGTGAAGCAGGTCCGGCCTTGGCCGTTGATTCGAGCGGTGATTTTGGTTCAATGATGAGCGATGTCGATTCTGTTGTGCGCACAGGTGGAGAGATCGGAGATGCAGTAGGCTTGTCTCTGACACCTAGTCCCGCCACCGCCATCTTGCCAAACCCTGTATCTTCACGATTTCCTTCTTCTCCATTGTGCTCTCGGCCACCGTCTTCCAACTTCCTTTTCCTTCTGAATTTCCATGAAATACCAAATTGAATTGGGATAATTTGTCGTTCTTTCCCATCCTTAAATTCAGCTTCCCAAGTGATCATCTCCCATGCCTGATATGCTATTTCGTTGCTATTTGAGGCAATCGACAGGGCAGCTCCTGAAGCGATGGATAGGTTTGCGACTCCGATCATTGAGAAGAGAGGAGTCTCTGCGTCAACCTGAATAACCACACCGGTCAACCCTTGGTCCATCGTTTGAGAATCGCTTGAAACCCTTTGGTAGGCGGAATCAATCCGAAACTGCACGTTGGTCTTAGGTGGTGTAGCGATGGTATCATTGATGCCTATGTCACCGGCAACGAATTCTGGCAAGGAAAGCTCGGTTATTGAAAGCACATTGAGAGAAGTGATATCCTCCCCTACATCGGCGGCATCAACTGTGTTTGATTGCAGCCTTCCAAACGAACTCGAAAAGCTCTCAATCGTTGGCGACGGTGGACCCATGACAACAGCAACAGAAGCGGTAGGTATGGATACCTCTGCCGTGATGACCAGGGGTGGAACAATTCTTTGTTGCGGAACAATTTTCACGTCTTCCATGGTGGCGAGGGTATCAAGCGGCAGCGGCGGTGCTGTTGTGAGAGTCACAGATGACATCGAAGGCGCATGTGATGCGACACCGGAAAAATCAACATCTTCTTCCTCGACCTCTAACAAATCGGCAGCTTCAACTCGCGGCGGTGGTGCGGTGGCTCTATCGTAAGCCGTGATGGCTCTACGGCAAGCTGCCATCGCTATATCCAAGGATGTCCTCAGTCGATTGATGAGTTCATCTGTTGATGGTTTCTCCGAGCTCATCATGTGATCCAAACACGGATCGACGGCTCTGATACCAAATGATACGGGATAGATTTGGATAGCTCCCTTTTCTTGGCGGGAGTAGACCAAGTTTCTCCTTTCTTGGCGAGAATGGCCAGGGTTTCTATTTTTCTAAAAGATTGCCTGCCCCTATTCAATTGATTCCCCACTTAAATACATAAATTGGAATGAACCTATCTATGTGGAACCAACTCCACGTTTTCATCTACTACTACTGCACTTCCTCCACTAAATATGGATATGAGTATTAAGACTTAACCACTAACTCTAACAACTTGCCCTACTAACTCTAACAATTTGCTGACCTATTCACCCTTGCTAACAAGACTCAAAGCAACCGAAGCTCCTATAACAACAAGCTTCTCTCGGCTTGGGTTGGGCTTCTGCCCGTAATTGTGGTAGCAACTATTGGGCTTGGCTGCTCGCGTCGAGTGATGGTTGGGCCGATGAATAGTGGTATCACACAATTAGGGATTTAATCGCATCAAC